GACTTTTTTTCTTCTTTTTTTTTTTTTTCCATGCTGGGGACCAAACTCAGGGCCTTGCACTTGCCAGACAAGGGCTCGTCCACTGAGCTAAACCCCCCAACCACCAGCTTTCTCTGTACCTTGGAACATACCTGTTTTATTGTATTTTATTTATTTTTAGTGGTGCTAGGGTATGAACATGGGGCCTTGTGCCTACTAGGCAGGCACTCTACCACTTGAGCCACGTCACCAGCCTCATGTCAGCTATTTAGTGTGCACCCAATAAGCCTTCCACCCAGCTGTCCTCCGAAGTCCCCAGGGGTGCATTCAAGTGACCTTCCCACCATCTCCCAAGACTATCAAACTTATGCCTAGCATCTTATCCCTTCTCCTGCTTTTTTATAGTCTCCCACTGTATCTGACTGGCTTTTCTCCCATTGCTACTAGTTTCTGTTCATTACTTTTTTTTTTTTTTTTTTGCAGTACTGGGGATGGAACCCAGGGCTTCAGGCTTGCTAGTAGGCAGGTGCTGTACCACTTGAGCCCTTTTGTTTTTATTTTTGTAGCTGAGACTAGCCTCCAACTCAAGATCCTCCTACCTCTGCCTCCAAAGTAGCTGGGATTACTAGCATGTGCCACCATTCCCAGCTAGGTTTTTTTTTTTTTTTGGTGGGACTAGAGTTTGAACTCAGGGCTTTGAGCTTACAAAGCAGGTGCTCTACTTCTTGAGCCATACCTGCAGTCTGTTTTGCTCTGGTTATTTTGGAGATGGGGTCTTGGGAACTGTTTGCCTGGGCTGGCCTCGAACCTCGATCCTCCTGATCCTCCCAAGTAGCTACGATTACAGGTGTACACCAACCAGGCCCATATCCGGGGCCTCGAACTAGAAGCAAATACAGAGGCTTAGGGCATCCATATTTGTCCCACCTCAAGGAGGAGAGGAGAAAAGAGAACAAAGCAGCAGGGTTTCAATTCCATGTACATCCCTGACTGTGGCTTTGGCTAGAGAACTTTCTAGACTCTGGTGACAATCCTGGCCCACCGTTTTTTTTGAGACAGGGTCTCACTATGTTGTGAGACCCACTGGCTTGGAAATTGCAATGTAGCCCAGGCTAGCCTCAAACTCATGGTCCTCCTGCCTCAGCCTCCCAAGGTGGGATGACAGGTCTGGATGGTCACACCCAGCCTCTCCTAGGGTTATTATTCTGAGAGCAGAATAAATTGATTTAGATGACGCCAATTCATGCAGTGTTGGTTCCAGTGACCTGACTAAATAGGAGCAGGAGTCTAGCGTGGCCTGGGGCGATGGCCCTGGGGTTTCCGAGGTGAGACTCAGTCCACCTGTGAACGTGACACTCACGTTGTTGATCATGAGGTGCATGATGGTCTTTGGCATGAGGTCTCGGATGGACTTGTTGATGATCGCCACGTACGAGTCCACCAGGTTGCGGATGGTCTCCACCTGCCTCTCCAGCTGTGGATCCATCGAGAAGGTGTTCTCTTGGACCCCGTCCTCATTCTCTGCCTGCAAGGAAACGCAGAGGTCATGAGGGGTGACGGCAGCCTGAGCAATCATGGTGAGCTCCCCTTCTCTGGGAGCTGCTTGCCTGTTCCACGAACAGCTGACTCTCTGGGGTCAGGCCCGAGAGAGCTGTTGGCACCAGGTGGCCCTGCCTGCCCCTGGCCAGAGCTGCCCAGACCTGGGGTGACCTGGGCAGCAGCCAGGGTGGCTCCTGTCCCTGAGAGAACTTTCTAGACAAACTGGTGACAAACTGTCCTTCTTTGCTTTGCTTGTTCATTGGTGTCAGCCATGTGTCCTGCCTTCTTGGAGTCCCAGCAAACAGCCTAGAAATGATTGGCCCCTTCCACCGCTGGCTGGGACCAGCTGGGCCAGAGGTGTGCTGGGTAGGCAGGTGGCTCCTCACCTGGTCTTTTTCAGGGTAGACTCCGGCTCGCAGGAATGATGCCTTCCAGCTGTCTACGTCCTCTTGGGAGTCACAGGCCAGCTCAATCTGCCGTAGGTCCTTGTAGACATTCCTGATGTGAGAAGGGCACACACTTGAGTGGCTGCCTGTGGACTTGGTCGACTACTAAGAGTGTGGCCTCCAGGGTCTCTCTGTGTTACCAAGGCTTCGAACCTGCCCCCAGGCTCCAAATGGTTCCAGTACCTTCCCCAGACATGCTAAGGTGCAAGTTGGAATCTACTACACATAAAGCAGTGACGAGCTCTGGGCTACTCCCCCAGCAGCACCACAGGAGGCCTCTGAACCCTACGAACAGGGCTGGGAGATGAGGGCTTATTTCATTTCCATTAAGTAAATAGTTGGACCCTGGAGGAAGAGCTAGCTATTCAGGGACCGGTCAAGAACCCTGGCAAAGGCTGTAAAGCATCAAGGCTTTGGAAGTAAAACAGCATGGAACCAGCATTCATGGACAGCATTCTGTACTAGAGGCCGGCAGCCTGTGTGATATGCCATGTGCCATGTATGCTTTGTTTTTGGTGAGACTGGGGTTTTGAACTCAGAGCTTTGTGCTTGCAAAACAGGTACTTTACTGCTTGAACCACACCTGGTTATTTTGGAGATGGGGTTTCTTGCCCAGGCTGGCTTCAATCTGTGATCCTCCCAATCTCAGCCTCCTGAGAAGCTAGGATTACAAGTGAGCCATCGGCGCCTGGCTCATGCATGCTATCTTGTTCTGCACACAGGTGCAGCCAAGACACCTTGAAGCTTCCAAGTGACACCTGGGTTTAAGGTTAGACATGGCCCTGTGATACCACTCTAAGTGAGTGAGTGGCTGCCCTGAAAGATTTCTGGAAGGAATTACAGGGGTGGGGCAGACTCTTGTGCAGGACATAGACAGCTGACCCTGACTCCAGCAGGCCCTGTCCCTGGACGAGGGCATGTGTGGGAGGCTGGGAGGGGCGTCCACTAGGCCTCTTCCTGACTTTGTGCCTGTCTCCCACCAGCACTTCACACAGGGACACATCCACAGAGAGCCTCCTAAAACCCTCCTGTGTTTTTACTTACCCTGGTTGGGGGGCTCATCTGATTGAGTAAGAGGTGCTTATACTGCTTTTGCTAAAAAGCACTGACTCCTTCTTGGGCCCACAAATTAACTAATAACTGGAAAAAAACATGGCATCTGTCCTCCATTTTGTATCTGCCTTTGCTCTAAGCCATTCTCTTTGCGGTCACTTTGTAATCACCTTGGATTCTGGGAAAGATAACGTCTTTATGACAACGACAGTAGACTTTCCTCAGGATAAAACACCTGCCAGCTGACAATAAATTCAGATTAACAACTCTGAAACCTCTCCCAGGACAGGGACTGAGATAATGAGCAACCAAAACATGCCTGTGACTGAACTGTTTAGCTACGCATACCTTTGTCCCTTGCCCCAGTTCTTTGGTCTACTTAAACCTGTAGCTCATGTCTGCCCCCGAAGATGGGTGAAGATGAGCTGAGTGCTTATTGCTTCTTCCCATGGCATGTCCCAAGCCGTGTAATAAACCTTTCTCTTCTTTCACCATGCCTCTTTATTTGGCATTTAGGGGCGGGTAGCTGGACCTGGCATGAGGAATCCTAAGAGTTTGGGTCTAGGGTCCAAAACTACAATTTCAATTATAGGATTTTATATTCTTTTCATTTATTTTTAAAAATTATTAATTTCTTGGGCAGTACTGGAGTTTAAACTCAGGGTCTAAAGCTTGCTAGACAAGTGCTCTACCATTTGAGCCAGGCCTCCAACCCTTTTTTGCTTTTAGTTAGTTTTCATACAGGGTCTCATGCTTTTGCCCAGATGTGCTCAGACAATGATCATCCTGTCTCTAATTCTGTGTGGCTGGGATTACAGCTGTACACCACCACGCCCAGCCTGTTAACTTTTTAAAAAGTTTTGCAGTTCAGGTGATAGAACCCAGGACCTGATGCATGCTAGGCTAGTGTTCTACTGCTGAGCCACACAATAACGACTGTGCAGGTTGCATACCTGTCTGGGGCTCATTCCTGAACATCAACTCCCAGGAACCCCTACTGGTACTTCATAGGCCCCTCTCCCTCAGCCTGGACCCAGCTGCACTGTCCTCACTGAGCCTTTGTCAGCAGCTAGGTCCCAAGTTCTCAGGGCCTTTCTCTCACACTTCACCCCTCTCCCTTGATGTCCTAGGTCCAATGCTAACTCAGGCACTTGGTTCTACCCCCGACCCCCAACACACAAGTTATTCCCCAAACAACCACTAGAGGGCACCAGTGAGGCCGAGTGGAGTCTTCTCTCTGCTCAGAACCCTCCAGGGCTCCCACTTCCCTCAGGCTCTCCTCTCTTCTTCCACATCTCTGTCCAGAGTACCTGTCAGGCCACTGCTCAGAAACACCCACAACATGCCAGGTGCCAGTGGCTCATGCCTGTAATCCTAGCTACTCAGGAGGCAGAGATCAGGAGGGTCAAGGTTCAAAGCCAGCCTGAGCAAATAGCTGGAGAGACCCTGTCTCGAAAAACCCATCACGAAAAAGGGCTGGTGGAGTAGCTCAAGGGGTAGGCCCTGAGTTCAAACCCAAGTACGGGAAAAAAAAAAAAAAAAAACAGAGAAAAACAAAAACCACCGACAGCAGTTTTGAAGTCTGGGGCCTTTACCACTCGAGCCATACTTCCACAGACCCTCAGTCCTTTTGCTTGTTTCTGAGACAGGTCTCACTATGTCATGCAGGTGACTGCCTCAGTCTCTCAAGTGCTGGGATGACAGGTGTGTGCCGCCACGCATTACTGACTCCCTTTCTAGGTGACATGCCGGGGCACAGAGCTGACTACAAGTGCTCAGTGCCACTGTGGCAGGCCAGAGGGGTCTGGCGGAACGTATCCTGAGCCCTCCCGGCGTCCCCAGGTGAAGCACCTCTGCTCCGTGTTGAAGATGGCGAAGACGTGCTTGTTGGACATGAAGCCCTTCTCCACGTCGCGGATTTTGAGGTTGTCCAGAGGCAGCATATACTTCTTCTCTTTCTCCTGAGGGTGCAGGGGACAGGCGTCATCCGAGGAAGCCCTGGTGCTTTCTGCACTGGCAGCTTTACACAGGTTACTTTTCCTGTTGCTACTCGCCCCCTTGCTCTCTAGTCTTCCTGATCATTCCTCGTAGGCTCCCACCCCAGGGCCTTTGTACATCTGGGACCTCCGCTCAGAACACTCCTCCAATTCACTCATGGATTCCTTCACTGGAGACACACATGGTGGGTGCTCCGCTGGCCCAGCTCAGCCTGCCTGCAGAACATAATCGCCTGCCCCTCGCAGGTGAAGAGGTACGGCCGCTAATGACTGGCTTCACGCTGGGCCTACTAGTGAGCTAACAGGACAGTCTCATTTTACAGAGAGGGAAACTGAGGCATAGAGCAGCAGGTGAATTCCAGAGCCTCAGACAATTCCAGAGCTGGAGAGCTGATGCCAGGCCCCACCACAAAAGTGCCACTCACTCAATTTTTTTCTTTTGTGGTGCTGGGGATAGAATTCAGGGCCTCAAGCATGCTAGGTAAGTGCTCCACCACTGAGCCACCCCAGTCTAGGAACTGGGTTACTTTTTTCTTTTCGTTTTTTGTTGCTTTTGTTTTTTTGAGAAAGGCCCTCACTATGTTGCCTAGGCTGGACTGGAACTCACCATTCTCCCAGCTCAGCCTTCTGAGTGCTGGGATTACAAGTTTGCACCACCACACTCTCAGGGCTAGACAATGGGAATGGAGGACCACCCCTGCCCACACCCAGGCTGCAGACTGGGAGCCCAAGGCAGGGAGGGTGGCCAAGAAAGCTGTGGTGGTTGTCACAGGCGCAGCAGTGGAATGCAGGGCCAGCATCCCACCTGGCTCCTGGGGAGGGACTGGGGGGCTTTAGAATGAGCCTGGGTTGGGTCCTGGGAAGGAGTTCCTGCCCTCTCCCCCACCCCCAGTCTGGAAGGTTGCAGAAGGGCCTCTGCAGCCCCCACCCTCTGCTGTCATGAGGCAGGAAGTTGCCAGTCAGCCAGCCAGGCCAACTAACTGAGTCACAGGCCATCCTGGCTCAGCGCAAGACAGCACATCTGGAACTGTTTATACTGTGATTCTGCCGGGACGCAGCGGCTGCCTTCCTGAGGCTGTGGCACACATACGTGAACACAGGACACACACACACACACACACACACACGTGCACAGCACACACATGAGAATGCACAGGCATGTGCGTGTCCCTCTTCCTGCTCCAACCCAACTGTCCCCCTCCTGCGCAGAGGCCACCGACCCAAACCGTTCCCCGCCTCCGCTCCCCATCCCACCCCCTCCCCCCGGATTTCCTGAAAATCTACAACTTTCTCCAGATGCGAGCTGGCCCCAGCCTTGCCACGTCAGAAGAGATGATGGAGAGGGCGGACGGTGGTGGGAGCAGTGGTGGCCTCTTTGCCTGCAGGGTGGCTGCTCAGGGGACCCAGGGGATGGACAGCCGGCCCCGCCATCCCAGTGTTCAGACTACCTGTTCAGGAGGTTCCGAACGTGTACAGTAGTCTGCACATTGGTTAGGCTGGGCTCGGGCGAACGCATCGAGACAGGGCCCCCGCCGGCCCCCTGTGCTACCTGCCACCACCAAAGCCAGGCTGACCCAGAGGTAAGTGACCGTCTTCCACTGTCCCACTTCCCACTGGTGTGGACGCTTGCACAGAAGATTCCGGAAAGGCCTGGGTGGGAGAAGAGGCACCAGGCAAAAGCCAAGGGAGCCCTAGGGTTGGGGGTCCTGGGGAAATCCTTCCCTTCTTCCTGCCCTACAACTGTAAATGTCCCTTCCGTCTTGTTTCTTTCTGAATAAAGACATTCTCCTCTCCTGCCTCTCTCCAAGGCTTGTCTGCGAAGATGGCCTGGCTTGTGGGGGGGTTGCGGCGGTGGCTGACGTGTGTGATGCTGGGGGTCCCTGCTGCGATCCTCGGTGTTGTGGGTGATGGTGGTGGCAAGGGGGATGGAATTTCACACTACCCTCCTGATTGTAGCCTGTTTTGTGTCTGGGGCATACACAGGGACCCTTCTCAGGGATCTGCGCCTGCCTGATCCTCCTCCCAGTGCTGCCCCTGCCTAGGGTCTGGAAGGGTCAGGGTCCCGTTTTCAATCCCTGGATGAGGGGAAAACCAAGGGCCCCAACTTAGGATAGAGAAGAGAGCTCTTAAGACAGAGCTACTAATGCTGCCATGCAGTGAGCCACGAGGCCTAGGCCTGGGCCCCTCTGTGGGACCAGCCTTTTTACTTATTTTTTGCTTTTTGCGTGTGTGTTGCTGGAGACAGAACTAGGGCTCCCACTGTTCCACCCAGGACACAACACCCTGGACAACTGTCATCCCACAAAGCAGATGGCTAATGTCTAGCCCTCAGGCCACTAAGTAGGGCTACTTTGCAGCCTGGAACCCCACCTAATGCAGCCTTGGCTGAGGAGAGGAATGCAGTGCCCCCTGTGGGTATCCCTATGAACGACAGGCTCTCAATCTAAGTTGTGGTTGTCAGGGTGGAGGCTGAGCCAGCACCAAGTGCCTCTCAATGTCCCACACAGGCTCATCCTGACATCAGTCCTCAGTGGAATAAATGAGTCCTTCCGTCCATATTATTCTTATGCAGTATTTCTCCTCCACTTCTTTTTAGTTTTTTGTGTTTGAAACAGGGTCTTGTTATATAGCCCAGGCTGGCCTGGAACTTTTGATCCTCCTGCCTCAGCTTCCCAAATGCTGGGATTATAGGTATATGCCACCATTTCCGGCTTAGGTTTTTTTTTTTTTTTGCGGTACTGGGGCTTGAACTCGGGGCCTACACCTTGAGCCACTCCACCAGCCCTTTTTTGAGAGCCCGAACTATTTGCCCAGGCTGGCTTCCAACCACGATCCTCCTGAGCTCTGCCTCCTGAGTAGCTAGGAGTATAGGAGGCGTGAGCCACCGGTGCCCGGCTTCCCTTAGGTTCTTACTGCCACTGTCCCCAGATACCTTCCCTCATCCTTCTCACAGTGACACAAACATACAGACTGTTCAAAAGTCACCCATGATGGGTACGCACTACACAGTGGACAAGGGCATTTCACGGCATTTCAGAGATAAGAAAACTGAGGTACAGAGATATATGGATGTGGTCAAGCACACAGGCACCCCAACAGTCTGGCGGTGCTCTGACTCTCTCTCAGCTGTGGCTTCTCTTGGGACAGAATCATTGTGGCACTGGAGGCTGGAGTCCATTTTCAGTCTGTTGGCAGCTCCCACCCAACGGGAGACTAAGAGGGGCTAGGCTGTGATGATAAGCACCCAGCATACAGAGGCTGCCCTCCAGCCCTGGCTGCAGTGGTCCTAACAGTAAGCTTTTATTATTTACTTTGTATTTTGAGGCAGTCTTGCTAAGTAGCCTAGGCTGGCTTCCAACTTTGAATCCTTCTGCCTCAGCCTCCTTAGTGCTGGCATTACAGGTGTGTAACACCAAGCCTGGCCTCAGAGAGCCTTTCTCAAATGAACAAGTGAGTGAGTGAGTGAGTGAGTGAATGAAGGGGTACCACCCAGAAGGAGCAGATGAGGGGAATGCCTACACACTCTCATCCTGTCGCCCTACCCTTGCCAGCGGCCACTCACCTCCTCATCTTTGTACCAGGACAATGACTCGGCTGTTAGCACAAACCAGTACTCCTTGGAACCCCCCTTCATCAGGCTTATGTTGTTGATGGTCAGCCATCCCCTGCGTATCACCTGGAGGAGAGGATGTGGCTTAGTGGGAGACAACACCCTGCCACCCAGGCCACCCCCCAGCACAGTGGCCAGTGCCCTTGCCCCACAGCAAGGCAGGAAGCTGGGGACCACAGCAGACACACCTCCAGCCCCAAGCCAGGAACCCAACTCCATCTCGCCCCAAGCATGCCCAGTTGGAAACCAGGAAGGTACACAGGCAGGTGTGCGGGCAGACAGACAGACAGACAGACAGTGAGTCCCTAGCCCGGGAGTTGATGGGGGAATGGGAACAGAACATATGCCTGCCCTGTGGAAAGGGGTTCAGGGCAGGTGTCTGGGGCTTGTGACTGGGGCTGGGCCCTGTGGAACGTGGCATGTGAGGATCTGCACATGACTGGTTGGGACAAGGTGACCAAGGATGCTCTTGGTCCCACCCCGCATGCCCTCTGGTAAGCAACTATCACCATGGACCAGTTCTTTCTCACATTCCTCTTAGAGCCAAGCAGCAAAGGCCCCACATATGAAGCCTCAACTGATTGATGCCTTTGCTGTAGGTCCATCTGTGGCCAGGTGACCAGGGCCAGGGGACTTTGCTACCCAAGGGCTGGGGACAAAGACTGCAGTCTGGAGGACCCTAAAGGGGCCCTTGGAGGTAAGGATTGCACTTCAGGCTGGCTTCAAGCCAGTGATTTCACTTTTCTCTGAATGAGATCTCAGGGGTCTGGAAGAGGATGTAGCCAGTATCTGAGTGGGAAGACAGAAGCCAGGCCTGAACAAGGACTCACCTGACAGCTAGCTGCAGGCAGCCTGGGGGGGCCACGTTCTCGGGCATTCCCTGGTCCCTGGGACATGGAGGCCCAGAGTTCCCACCCCAAAACTCAGTAGGAAGCACAGGCAGGGTTGTCTGGGGCCAAGATAGCAACAGATGGGCCATGTCGCAGGGGACAGGCTGTGTGTGGCCATGACAGCTGGAAACAGTTGCTGTTGGGCCCTTCAGAGTAGGATCGGGTACGAGAACCAGAGAGAGGGCCCCCAGGGTCTTCCTAGGGTTTAGGAAGACCTTTCTAAGTCTCCTGGGAAGGGTTTCATTTTGCCTACCTGAACTATGCCCAGGCCTGTCAAACCTGAACACAGTTACCAAGTTGCAGAAGGCCATGAAGGCAGAGTTCCTGCCCAGGCCAGGGACAGAGTAAGTTACCACTGGAAGCCCTCATTAGGCCAAGGGCACAGACTTCAACTGCTGTAGGATGACAAGAGGTCTTGGGATGCCTGTGGTTGTCTGGAGCTGGCAGTGTGGCTGTTGATTCCCCACAGGCTGCCTGGGGGCCAAGGGAGCAGAGGCCTCTGGCGGCCCCAGCAAGGCCATGGTGTCTTCCTTGGCCACAGGATGATGGTCTCATTCTGGTTTCTCTAGGATGCCTTGGTTTGGACTGTGAAGGCCCAGCGTTCTGGGGATGCCCTTTCTCCCAGGCCCCCTAGCATGGGTAGCTGTGCTGTTGGAGACACTAGTCTGTAGACTGAGACACATGCTGGAAGGGTAGCCTGCCACCAGCAGTATCAGGGAGGGCTCCTATGGTCAGTCTCCTTCCTCCAACTGAGGGCGGGCAGTGGGGGCCTGGCAGGGTGTTATCCCAGAGAGCAGGAGCTTAGTGGACCTAGTCCAGCCACTGACTGACAACCAGGGGCAGGAAATCAGGGGTCCGGGCTGTCACTGCTCTCTGACATGGCATGTCCCACATGCTCCCAGGAGGTAGCTGGGCTCCACCCCTCTCCCAGGCAAGGAAGCTGGTGTGGGGGTCTGGGGGTCGGGGAGATAGGAGGTGGGTGGGACCCCAAGCCTGGGGTGCACAGTGAAGGTATGCAAGCAGTAGGGGAGTTGGGGAGGGATGGAGGCAGGACCAGCCCCAGGTGGCAGGAACAGCAAGCAGGAAGCAGGGTGGCTGGGGTCAGTGGGCAGGCGGGGCTAGCCTCCTCCCTGAGTGAGGGTCCCAGGCAAAGTGATGCTCATGTCTCTGTGGCTGGGATGGGGAATCCGACAGGAAAAGGTAAATGATTATACCTTGGCCTGGTCTGTCTGGTGGAGGAAGTGGCGGGATGGGGATGGGGGGAGACATTGGGGATGGGACATGGGGAAAGTGGGAACCACAGGCTCATCTATTTCTCCCACCCACCCACCAATGGGTCCAGGCACATCCAGGCCCTGCTCAGCTATTGGAAGTACTCCAGAATTACCCGAAGGTCTCTGCAGAGGGCATTCAGCACTGCCTACCAGTCCCTAGTGGCCAGCAGTGGGAGAATACCACAGGGCAGGGGGCTCTGTTGGGAATGGAGGCCAGCTGCCATAGGAGGCACATCATATAGACTCAGCTCTCAAATGTGAACGGTCTCTGCTCTATATAGCGCAGGTCCTCCCAATCCTCCTCATGTCCCACCCTAGGCCCACTGTGGGTTCTGTGCAAGGCAGGAGGGGTTACCTACAGCAGGGATGGCAAATACTATTCACCCTGAGGGGCCACAACCAATCACCCAGGGCACTGTGGTGAGAACTCTGGGCATGGCAGGAAAAAATGCTAGGATCGATTGATTAGTCATGCCTGTCCCTGGCAAAGGATCAGGGAAGGGGCAAGCAGAACAGAACAGCCTCACCAATCATATCTTCCATGGAGGAAGGAGGCTAGTGGCAGCATCCAGGAAAAAAGGTCCCTGATTGATTAGTCATGCCTGCTGTGGGTACAGGATGGGTATCATGTAGAAGAATTAAAAAAAAAAATACCTTGTCAATTAGTCACATGGGCCACAGAATGGGGAGCGGTGGCATCTGATTAGGAAAGAATGCCAGGATTGATTAGTAACATCTGCCATGGGCACATGATGGAGGAAAGGTACAAGTCAGAAATATGCTGGATAGATTAGCCACGTCTGCCATGGGCAGGGCAGAGGAAGTTGTGCATGCAGAAAATCAGGCTCTCCTGTGCTGCTGCCTGCACTGGAGGCAGAAGTAGGAGTGGGAGTGGCAAGAACAAATGCCAGCAGGGTTTGAGCAAAATTTTCCATGGCCAGGGAGGCAAGAGAAGGCAGGGACAGTGTGTCAGCTGAGTATTTGCCATCCCTGACCTAAAGGACACCAGGTGAGTCTGACAGGAGTCAGCCAAAGAGGAGCAGGATAGGTTAGTGTTAGTGCAAGAGCTACTGACAACCAGGTCAACGCCAAGTTCAACGACAGCCACAATGAGGGGTTTCAAGGTTAGTTGGATGTTTAGCACTTTTTGGGTGAAAGGGAATGTTATGGGGGTGGGTGAGGCCTCCAACACTACCAGATTCTCTAATATTTGCTATCACACTAAACAGGTACTTACCAAGATCTCTCCCTTTGAGAAGGCAAGGTTAGGGTTGTGGGTAAATCAAGGAAGAGTGGGAGGAGGAAAGAGACAAAAGGGACATGAAAGGATGGAGAAAAAGCCGGAAAAAAGCACAAGAATGGGAGGAGAAAAGCAGAGGAAAAAACAGCAAAAGAAAAAAATTACATGCTATTAATTATATTCATGGTGTTAATATTTAATTCATTATCATCTCACAGAAACAAAAAAAATGTATATATTACCTAGCAAGCGCAAAAAAAAAAAAAAAGATTCATGCAGTGGTTACATTTTTTCTTTTCCAATCTGCCTCTAGAATCGTGCAAGATAAACAGCAAAGCCTCAGCCCCACTCCCACCCCCACCTGATGTGCAGAAGGGGGGGAGGGGTAGTGGCAGAAACTTTGCAAAGATGATGGGTTTTCTTAAATTAAAAAAAAGACATCTAAAACTGGTATTTATAAAACAACACATATTTTCCAGGGCCTCTAGCTGGGGGTAAGATATCAAGGCACCAGGTGTGTGGGGTACAAACCACCCCAGCCTTCCCTGAGTTGCCAGTGGCCCTGCACCTTCCATGGCTCCCACCTACAGCTCCCCAATATTGGAGCAGAAGATGGGAAACCCAATTTGCTTGCAGATACCTTGGGTGACTGTTAAGTGTCCCTGCCAGGAGGGTCAAGTGCTAAACCTGGGCCCTGGATGTCAGACAGGGCCTCTGGTGTGTGAAATGGGCAGCACTCAGCCCATTTTCCAGAAACACTGACACCTAAGTGGAACTCAGATGCTGACAGAGTGGATGACGTGGCACTAAGGTGTTGGCTTCTGACAGGGCATTCCCTGTGCCAAGTGTGATGGTGGGGGCTCGGTTACCCCTCAGTGCCCTCCCGCCCTCAGGGTGGAGTGGTGGCCATGGACGGGTAGCTACCTGGTTGGGGATGGCTCTCTTCTTGTTCAGCTGCGTGCTCCTCTGCTGAGCACTGAAACCAAAGCACAGAGAAGGCCCATGTGGATGACATGTGGGAGTGACGAAGACGAAGAGCAAGACACCCTGGTGGCCCGGGTGGAGGTTCTTCCCCTGGGAGGCCCACTGACTGGCTATGGGTCGAGGCACATGAGTGCTCCCGGCATGCAGTAGGGCCCCGAGGGAAGCATCTAGGGCACGTGGAAGTAGAAAACACATCAGCTAACCCAGAAGTGCCAGTTACTTCCTTCTAAGATGGGGCAAGGACAGCTGGAGGCCCAAGTGGCCAGGAGGTGGCTCTGGGGAACCAGAGCACCAGGGAGGCTGCAGTCAGACACCTGAGGCTTCTTCCCATCTCAAACACCAACTCCAGACTGAAAGCAGCTCTAACTACAAGGCGATCTGGTCTCAGATCAGAATGGGTGATAGCCACTGGCTATCAATATGTTACCCATCTTTCACAGATCCTGACCCAAGTCAGAAGACATCCAAGGTCATACAAGTTTCCTTATTTGGTACAGTCTTTGATCTTTCCACCCTTTCTTTCTTCCATTTATTTATGTACTTTTGGTGGGACTGGGGTTTGAACCTAGGGCCTGGGCTTTGCATTTGCAAAGCAGGTGCTCTATTGCTTAAGTCACACCTCCAGTCCATTTTGCTCTAATTACTTTTTGAACATTCTCTCTCTTTTTTTTGGTGGTACTAGACTTTGAACTCAGGACTTTCTGCTTGCAAAGCATGCATTCTACTGCTTGAGCCACACCTCTAGTCCATTTTACTCTGGTTATTTTGGAGATAAGGTCTTGTGAACTAGTTGCCAGGGCTGGCCTCAAATCTCCATCCTCCTGATCTAGGCTTCCAAGCAGCTAAGATTACAGGAGTGAGCCCACAGTACCTGGCTAACCTTTTTATTTTTATTTTTGCAGCACCCCATGCATGCCAGGCAAGTGCTCTACCATAGAGCCACACCCTCTTCTCACCTGTACAGACCATATTTTCTGGCTATTGTATGCACATGTGCTTTATGTGGGCACCTACTCCACCCTCTTTATTTGTTCTAATATATTTTCTTCCTTCCTCCCTCCCTTCATTTCTCCCTTCCTTCCTCTTTTTTTTTTGAGACAAGGACTTGCTACATGGTCCAAGCTGGCCTGAAACTTGCTCTGTAGTTCAGGCTGGACTCAAACTCTCAATCCTTCTGCATCCCCCTTCCAAGTGCAGGAATTGAAGGCGTGCCCCACCACACTTGGCTCTGGTTCTGATATGTTTTATGCTCCAACAATCACATCATCAGTACAATTTTTTTTATTTCCTGTTACTCATCTGTCATCTTTTCTTATCTTATTGCTTTAGCTGGCAACTTCAGCAGCAAACCAGCTTGGTCTCATTCCTTTCTTTGCTGACTGCCTCAGGGTTTGGCCTTTAAGCTCAAGTTGCCTGTGGGCGAAGGCCTGTGTGCATGCACACTTGCACATGTGGGTACGTAGGAAACAGGCTTCTGTTTCTAGATTGGTAAAGGTTGGAAAATTAAGAAGCAGCAGAATATGTTTTGCTGTTTTTTTGAGGTGGAATCTCATAATGCAGTCCAGGCTGGCTCAGAACTTGAGAGCCTCGTGTGTACGCACCTCCTGAGTGCTGGGATTACAGATGTGCCCCACCATGCGTGGCACAGAGATAGAATTTTATTCATGGATTTTCCTAACATTCAGGGCTTTTTCTCTGGGTTCTGTATGTAGTGTTTCAAGGGCAGCGAGAAGCCCAGAACATGGAGTATAAGAAGGAGCTTGATCAGTAGTGTCTGAAGGAGGTGGGACTGAGCTAAGCCAACACTCACAGTGAGGCTGGGTGACAGCGGGGTCCATGATGTCCTACTTCCTAAGGGCCTCATGGCTCCCTCTAACAGCAGCCTATGCAGTGGCCCCTCTCCCTTGCCTGGACTCAACCAGAGATTTCTGGGTACCCTGGGAGGGAATCCAAAGTCCTCCCCTCAGCCTACCAGACCCCCTGGCAAGGGGTGTGGTCGCTACCTGTCTTTTCCACTGTGACTGGGATGTCCCAAGATGCTCCTGGCCTCTTGGCCTTCCTTCCCGACCCCCCCACCTGTCACTGGTGTCATGACAGCCTTCTTCAGGAAGGTCTCTCTAGGCCTTACTGTCCTTTCCTACCCTCATCTCCCTGTGACAATTTGCTCAGTGACTCCATCTCCCCAGCCCATGGTTCTGAAAGGGCAGGGCTATGCTGGCTCATTTATTGTCTTGTCCCAAGGCCCAGCATGGGCTCTGTCTCTGAGTGCTCTGTCACAATTCAGCAGACCCCTGGGACATTCCCCTCAGGCCTGGAGCCACCCAGTCACATACCAGGGAAAAGGCACACAGCAGGCAATACCCACCCGGTGACCAGCTCCTCAGTATAATAACAGCTGGGGTAAGTGGGAAGGCCCCGGAA